CTGGACATACCCAGGCAGCATAGCAATCATCATCTACTTCCTGCCTGCTACCCATTCCAAGTTGAAATCCATTCATTTTTGTGGTCACCGATACTATTCTCCAATGACTTTTGATCTCACAAATATCCATGTACCTGATCTGACGGGCATGGTCATGACGACCGGCAATCGCGCAATCGACAGTTGGAGCTTCGCAGACGTTCGGAAGGGAATCTACTACACACAGCCAGGTCATAATTTTACCGTACGTGCTGCTCTGTCACTGGTGACGTGTAACACATTTATATTCACTCAACGATGTAGGTAGCGGTGAAGACCTTGAGACCATCGCTTTTGTCAGACACAGTGCGTCTCGCGAGAAAAACCATACGGGTATGTAGATCGTTTACTCATAGCTTATCCTTTTTGCTTAGTCTGCCTTTTTCAGCGAGAGGCAAAAGTTTGGAGCACGCTGAATCACCCCAATGTGGCTCAATTCATCGGTGTGTGTTGCCAGGATGACGGACTTCGACCTTTCCCGCGTCCTCGAAGCATGTGCCTTCACAACGAGCCATATAAAAGCGGTCGGCATGTTAAGTTACATGGCGCGCGAGTTGATGAATCCCACATCAACAGCACCGCTACCCACTGCAATCAGATATCTGGTCGGCAGGATTGACAGGTCGAGATGTACGTTAAGGAATTCTCGTCACCAAAAATTGCAGAAACTGAGCATGTTACTAGATTTTATCTGACATCATGGCGTACGTCGATAAGAATGGGGATGGCGAACCAATCTGTTGTATTGGTCGAGGGGAAATACCCAATCTGGGTCTTTACCGTCGAGTACCAGGTGGGACATGGTCAATGCTGATGGCCTGCTGAGTAAATGAGGGAATACGACCTGCTCTCTCCGAATTGATCAGGTACTTGGATAACAACTATCCTAGTTTGCAGTAAGCTACAACTGTAGAGCTGTTTTATATGTAGATACAGAACGTCCCTCCACTACATTGGTTACAACACGGACTTGTTGAATAATACTATAGGTTTTGCTTGCGTCAATGGTGAATCTATCGTCTTCTGAGATTGACTTGGCAACTGACCAACCAGAGGTGGGTGAATTTGCAACAAAAAAGTATCATGTCACTGGCTCACTGCACTCTCCCATTGTCCGATGACTACACCGTTATCACATCACGTGATGTTTACGGACGCTGGCGGAAACCAACCGGAAATACCACTAGCCCGATCCACGTATATGGTACCCATTCACAGCGAATTCCTTCCGCGTCACGTTCATGAAAGATCCAAAGGAAAAAATCATCCAGCCCTCTGGAGAGAACAGATGCCAGCTCAGTACTTCTATTATGAGATACCGCCGGCGTCAAAATGGTCGCATGGTGAAGTTCGCAAACGTCACGCTGGCAGAACCATGTTCTGCCAAGTTTTGTCAGTTCTGCAGGCAGAATTGCCCCTGAAATAGTTCTGCCCATGGTTTCCAAGATCAGATCAATCGTCCCTTGACCATCTAACACTGCGGCTATGTCGAATAATTCAATCCCTATTGTTGATTTTGCTCCGTTCTTAGACGGAACTGCGAAACAGCAGGTTGCAGATCAGCTCCTCGGGTCGTTCAAATCGGCTGGATTCGTCCACCTCACGAATTTTGGTCTATCGAACGAAGAGGTCCAAGAGATGTTTGATTTGGTGGGGTTAACAGCCGCCTCTTAGCTAGGACTTCTAACCTATAGCGTGACAGTCGAAGCGCTTTTTTGCCCTTCCGCACAAAATCAAAATGCTTGCGCCTCATCCAGACTCCGGAGCACATCATCGAGGTTAGACAATTCCATGGCCGAATAGGATTACTGGTCTAGTCGCTTTCACATTTGTCTTCTCTCAGGTTATTCCTTCCCCGGCCAGGAGAAAGAAACCCAACTCCCGGAATCGGGAGATTCCACTGAGGCTGAAATACCAATCCCGAGCGTGAAAGAGTCGTTCGAATCGGGCTGTGAGGACGATGACTTGATGCCAAACATCTGGCCGCCCGATCACATCCTCCCCGGCTTCAAGGAATCGTATCTGGCGTTCTATGGGTCAGTGTATCCACTCGGGCCTGAAGTCTTGTACCTTGGTTCTGACAGAGAAAAGAAATGCTATGAGGTTGAGAAAAACATCCTCGCGCGCTCGCGCTGGGTTTCGGCTTGGAGGAGGAGTGGCTTGTGAGATATCATGGGATGTCAGATAATGGGCTGAGACTACAACACTATCCCGGGTAAGCTTTCATTGTCGATCGACTGGTATGGGCTTGAATCACGATACTAGCGTCGCCCTCGAATCGGTCCTTTCGAACAAGGTTGCACGGATATCGAATCATACGGATTTTGATACACTCACAGTGAGTCTCCCCTTTCTTTGTCTCCTTTCACGTTATACAACGAGGCTAACCCTAGGCAGATCCTCTTTCAAGACAACGTAGGAGGCCTCGAAGTCGAGGATTCGAATGAGTCTGGGAGTTTTTTGGTGCGTTACTGTGAGGCTACCTCCTTACTAAAGTCAAAACTAATTTGTGGTTAAAGGCGGTACCACCAATTCCCAACTCGATCGTCGTTTAACGCAGGAGATTTTTTGCGGCGATGTGATGGTTCCTTTGGTCTTGCTGAGACCATATAATTACTAATGTGCTGATTTGACTTCTGTAGGGTCGAATGACACAATACGGAGCGCGATGCATCGCGTTCGCGCGCCGCCGCATGCGGTGACGAGGGATGGCATGCTTCCAGATCGATATTCTATCCCCTACGTGAGTTTACGCCCTCTATTCCTCCGACCTTTAGCTGATAAGTACATCAGTTCTGTGCTGCCGTGCGCCATCTTTCCTCCTTTTATGCCAGATTTATCGATTGATGGTTGGCATATACAGGACCTTTCCACAGTCGTCGATTCGATCCCTGGTACGTGGTCAGCGGATTATCCCAAAAAGTATGAGCCCGTGTCGGTGAGTTGGTTTGCCTTCCAGGTGACATATGGAAACTACATGTTGATGCCAATGGTGGCGGAATAGGTGAAAGAGTATGTAATGAAGCGGTTTGCCGCGGATTATTAAAGCTGGTGAAAGGTGCTATGGGTTGACATGAATATCAAGTATGATACATTTTCGTTTGTCCGAATGCCAAAGGTTTATGTAGAATGACGGATACCTTTCTGTAGAGTTTGGAGATGGCTTCAAACCTGTGATGGCGTGATATCGAGATTCAGGTACCATGATGGGCATTTGTTTTGAGTTCGACACATCGACATGTACCTTCTTTCAGATGACGATTTAGAAAGATCCTTCCTGACCCCCCGGAATAGTATTAGCAAGTCGCACAGCTTATGTAATTGCGTAGAAACTGAAGTACTGAAGTACACTGAGAATTGTCACAAACGTTGTCATGACCCAAAAATAGGATTGTGACACATGCACATAGGGTTATGGTTGACGGAAGGATTTCCGGAAATGTTGCATAGACCATAAATTAAATATAACCTCGACACCGGCCTTCCTGGGTATTGCTGACAGCCGAGCCAACCTTTGCACAAGGTCTGCACAAGGGACGAGCAACCAAGGGAGCAAAATAATACCACAATGTTAGCGCGGTAACATGAGAGTAAGGTTAATATCAGGTCCCATCGACACTTCATCACCATTGCATGTATACCATGGTGACATTAAAACTCAACTATATATATATCAGAACATAAACTTCCAGCGACGGTAAAAAATATGGGAGCAATCCATCATTATTATCACGGTGTATCTAAAGTATAGTAGGACATAACATAAGAATCACCAAATAAGTTTGCTATGAATTGTCTTTTGCCAGTCCACAGTCACGGAGTCGAGGGATGGAGCGAGGGACGTTGTACTCGGGTATTTTTGTAAGTCAGCTTGGAGGACCTCTGTGAAAAATCTATACAAATCAATGATGAGATCAAATTAACGCACAAAATTCAAGAAGCAGTGAAACACACTGTTTAACGAATTCTTCAGCTGCCTGTGTCGTAGATGTATTCTTCTTAGCGTCGTCCCTGAGCTCACCCAAAAGAATGTCGATATAGCTCCAGTATTGATTAAACGTCCAAGTGCACTGTGTGATCGTTGAAGGGCTGGAATCGGCCTCGTCACCTTCCATATCTGCCGGCACGTGTTCATGGTTGCTGTTCAAAGTGACTTCCTCTTGGGACTTTGCGCTCTCTGCAACGACAGTCCGGAATTGGATCAGTGAAGAATGCTAGATTAGAGTGAGTGGAAGACATGGCGGGGTTTGTGAATCAACTTGCCAGAAAGGCCACACGAGACCAGTGTGCTGAAGTAATCTCGGTGCAGTTACCTGATAACGACCGACAGAGCGCATGGATATTTGATCCTCTATCAGCGGAAGTAACGATCTGTGTTCAAAACGTTAAAAATATCATAGCAGCTCAGGAATCGACAAACCTTTTGTTTCATGCTTCCGCGCTGCTGCGTAAGCAGTTCCTTAATCATCGAGTCCAACTTATTCATAAGTTCGAGATCCTGCAGGGCGGCGAGGGGTATCTTGAATACAGAAGGGTGTTTCTTTACGAATTCCTGGAACATGTTAATCTTTATTTGTCAGATAAGAATAAAAAAACTCACGAAGAGGTTCTGAGACAAGTGCGTCACATATCCTGAGAGATTCGGAGACAATAGGCAAGCGCGAAGCCTGTCGGTGAGTGATTGCTTGAAGCAATGTAAGAATAGTAAAATATATGAGAGTCAGACCTGTACCTTGAATTCCGCCGAGCTAATGAGCTCACGAGCATCATCTCTCGCCTTTCGCTTGTCTAGGGCAATGAGATGCTCCATGATGTTAAGTAGCATCTCCTTTTCGGGTTTCTGCATGGATGGATGAATTTTAGTGCGCTTATACTGTACATGCTGATGATTTAGACTTACTGTAGCAAATTCTTCTAGCGCATCATCAGGTAACCCATTGGTCCTGCAAACATCTGTAGCGCAAGTCTTGAGCCGCTTGGTCTCAGCCTCCGACTCTGTAGATTCGATCCGTCATCTGACCTCGCCTCATGTGACTGACTGAAGTGGTGTTTGTGCCGCAAGTGGGGATGACGGCGGGCTAGATGTAGCAGCCCGGGGGAACAATGGTACAGGTGCCTGTTGGAGTCGGAATTGACTGAGGTAGCTCATACCCAGCACCGCGCGATGAACACACTGAACAGAGACGGTGTCAGAGTCAGCCCGAACGTGATGCGTTGCATGTGACCGAAAATCCATTGGCAATAAGTACAACTGACATTGGTAAATTTGAATCTGCGTAATCGTACTTGTAACTTGGGGTAAAAGAAAGTAATACAACATTGTGAGCGTGTGATGTGAAATCAGGTGGACTGAGTTACAGGATCAACAAGTTCTAAGATAGCATAAAGTCTGTCGTGATTTCTGGCGACAGCGTGTTGTGAAATTATTTTCTTAAACGCCTCCCTTGATACATGCTTGGGGTGGGCTGCGCTGTCTCCCATGTCACGAATCACCGATGGTCTCTGGACCACGATGTTCATCCCGCTGTCGGATAAGGCGAATTTTTTCGTGGCGGCATCAAGAGACAACCCTGGTGCGTTCAATAATTTCTTGGCAGCTTGCACGTGCTCAGGGGTTGTCTGGGAGGAAGACAGTGCCTCTCTCCAGAGGAATGACTGTGTAATGCGGAAGGTCTTGTTGTTTCTGGGAAGTCCAGACGCGACTGCTAGCTTCGCTTGCGTGAGATCAAGTAAGTGGCGGAGTAAAATGTGATCCATGAGTTTGGTATCCTAGCCAATAATTCAAGCATCATAATAGCATTAGATAGTCGATACTTACCGCACCACTAACCCACCCAGTGGTTTCGATGTGCTCATCTTCAATCTCCTCGATCCTCATTAGCATGTACGATTTCTCTTTCTCGCTAGCTTCCTTCTCCTTATCGCTAGCTTCCTTCTCCTCCACCCGAAACTTCTTCTCCTCGAGAAGCGAACTCTCAAGGTCCTGAATCCGTGAGCTGTCCTGCTGTTGCTTATCTTCCAGGTCCTTGATGTGTTGTCTGTCCTCTTGTTGTCTGTCCTCCAGGAATTTGATGCACAATTGGTCAAGGGTATGTTCTTGCTTGAGGATGTTGCATTGATGTTGAGTGTCCTTCAGCTGCTGCTCCACCTCCTTGGTGTATCGCTGAAAATTTAGTTTCACGTCCTCCTCCCTCCGCAGCTGATCACGTTGAAATGACTGCAGGGTCGCATGAAAGTCAACCTGTTGTTCAACCCTCATATTGTCCTTGATTCGAAGTGCGTCATTCATCGATACAACTAAGTTGATCAACTCCTGACTTTTCATGTGGGCGGGGCTCGCCAAGGATTGGGTCGCGGTTGCCGTGAGCGAGGGAGCAACAGAGGGTGATAGCTGCTTGGAGGGAATGATCGCAAGAATGTGATCCGCCGAATCACACACGCTCTGGATTGTCATTAGGTTATCCTCGAGCATGGAGGTACCATGCACATCTGGAGGTGGCGTGAATGAATTTTCGTTTTGATTTAACAGAAAAAAACTTACTTGTAGCGAGAAGAACGGAATCAGGATCAGGATGAAGGTCAGGTACTTGTAACCATTCTTTATCGAACTTGAGTCGAGCTTGATGCTGGAGACAGGCTCTGAGCTGGCCGATGTTGGTGATTGTCTCCCCAACCCGATAAGAAGCCGCAGTAGCCTTTTCGACATAGAATGCGTGGACGTCGATATGAGCAGTCATGCTGCAGCGAGATAGTTTGCGGTGAATTGTGAGTAAAGTTTGTTGGTCTCAGCCCAACGTCGTATGTATTCCCTCGCTGTTTCCACCCTATTCTATAAATAGCTTTCACCGGTTTTCATCGGTTCTCATCGCTTTTAATCGGTTTATCGTGCATCAAAAGAATAAATTTTATTCAAAGTCCCGCGTGAAAATGAGTATTTGTAGGGGAAGGAAGTGGGTACATAAGGGGGCCTTGGAATACAGAGGGGAATACATATGGCGCTGGGTACATTGGGTGATGGTAGGTGCCTGCATATGCTGGCATCAGAGGATGATGGGAAGCGGGTACATGTACTGGGTGATGGTAGGTGCCTGCATATGCTGGCATCGGAGGATGATGGGAAGTGGGTACATGTACTGGCATTGGGGGGATAGAGAATGCCGAATGTGCAAGTGGATGGACCACTGGTTGTGGCGCTAGGGATGAATGCATAGGAGGTTGAAAGGAGGGACCCGCAGCTACTTTCTGCGCCTTCTTATCCTTCCCACCTTGCTTGGGCTTACGGGTAGCACGATCAAATACTGGAGGGGCGCTTCCAGTACATTCAGCTGTGTCTGTGGTTCCAGCCTTCTTTGCTCTGACAGTCCTTGCCGCTTTTAACCGTACCTCTCGTGAGTTTGGCAAAAAAGGGAGGCTCATTGCCATGCAAAGGGGTTGGGGGATGACCTGTGATATGAGGGCGTAATTGTGCAGTGAGTGGGCATTTAAAACAAAATGGCTCGCGTTTTTATGCACAAGTGATGTCTTAGTCTTTGTCGTCTCAGTGCGTTCTTGTTGTATGTTGACAGATACAAACTCGCCGCAGCTCGATGATGCGCAGTCATGCTGTACGTTTACAGCAGACAA